ATTGCGGAATATTCGGGATTTATCCCAAATGGCTACGAGATCGAGCTACTCCTAAGAATTTCATAGCTGTCTACGGTCTCTTGGGTACCGTACAAGCTATGGCTTTCATTTATATCGTCGTCACTCTCACGACCTTGGAAAAGAGGTTTAAGATACCCAGCCGTACGACAGGTAAGTCATAAATTCAATAAAAAAGTAAAAACAGAATCAAGACAATTAATGCATAATAAATTACTATGTTCAAAATGTAGGTAAATATTCCAATTGCAATAATCTGATAATTTTCTGATGAGTTTCTTGTTTCTTTTTTCATTTTTTCAAAATTACTAATCATCTTACAATTTATACATATGCATACACATGATAACCTTGTAAATTGAAGTGTCGTAATTAGTCGTAACAATAAGAGTCTACGATTAATTGATTTATTAATTAATCTATATTTTGTAATAATGTAAAAAACTTCGATACTTAAAATACGATCGATGCTATTGTTTTTCAATTTCAATTAAATTAATTTATATATATATATATATATATATATATATATATATATATATCATCGAATGGATTCGTATATAAAAAAAATTGAAGTTTTTAAACAAGATATTAATATCAGAATCAATTCAGATATTATAATCAAGTTTTTGAAGAGCCATTAAAACCGAAGATCCATTCCCGCGTTATAATCCTCGTTTTACTTTTACAAGACGGTACATCCGATATCGTGCGGACCTCCACTTATCTAATTCAAGCTAAACCGAGGGTCTTTCGCTGGCTTTGGTTTTATTCCTTCGGTCCGATGTACCACTTGTATCGTACGAAAAGACATAATAATTTGCGAACTTCTCTTAAAGAGTTGATTAAATCCAATCCATGCCGTACGAAAAACTTTTTGTATCTATTATTTCCGTCTTACCTATCCATCTAAAGTCAACTAACGAATGTATTTTCATGCTGAATGTGCATGCATTTAAGTACTTACGTTTTCATTTGAACATATGCTCGAGCAATGCATTCGAAGATTATTCATATGTATGCTTACATATGTGTATGTGTTCGTCTAGTAGGTAAGTCTCTCTCTCTCTCCCTCCCTCCCTCCCTCTCTCTCTCTCTCTCTCTCTCTTTCTATACATATATATATATATATATATATATATATATATATATAGCAATCATAGAAGTGAGAAATCTGTCGTTAGATGGACTAACTGTGTACATGTTTTGCAACACTGACGTGCATACATACACACACACACACACACACTCATATATATATATATATATGTATATATATATATATGTGTGTGTGTGTGTGTTACGTGAGAGCTTTGTCGTTAGTCATAAAACGACATCTTCTAGCGAGGGGACACGAAACATTCGTAGAGCTAAGAAATGTCGTCGTTCGTCACTTAAAGTCATTCGCAGCCAGAAGTTTTTAACATTTTAATGACCGATCGAATCGTAAATGTTAAATACATGTGGACCATTTCAGAGTATTACATCGATATTTATATTCCTTGGTTGATTTTTGTTTTTTTCCTTTTTTTTTCCTTTAATAAATATTATATAATCAAGCGAAAGTATTAGCGCTTTATTACTGCGTGTATAGAACTTACGTAATTATAGGTTTTAATGATTTTATAATCTGTTTGAAAGGGGACACCCTATGTATTATCTTTCAGCTTATATATAAAATATATTCACTATTGTATATAAAGAAATGCATACGTAAAAAAATCTTATAAAACCTGTTTTACAATTCGGACTTTGAATCAAACATGATATTAGTGAAAATTAATAATAATAATTATAGTAAAAAAAAAAAAAAAAGAGAAAGAAAAAGCAATTATGAAAAAATAGATACACCTTTCTTATTGGATATCACGTTACAGGTTTGATATTATCAGGAAATGAAATTTCACAAATTCTCTCGCTGATTTTGACATATTATGGTGGTTCTGGTCACCGTCCAAGATGGATCGCAGTGGGTGTTGGTTTAAGTGCCTTATCCTGCCTGGTTCTCGCACTTCCACACTTCATATTTGGTCCTGGAAGAGACGCGATGGCTTTGACGAAGGAATACCTGGATCAGACGTTATTGAATGCAACAACAGTGCCAAGAGACATTGCAATTTGTCCACGAACAAACGAGCCGGAACATTGCGATGACGAAGCTCTTTTAGATGTTAGTCTTCTTCCCCGTTTACTTGTCTTTCTCTCTCAATTCATCCTTGGAATTGGCACTACTCTTTATTATGGACTTGGTCAAACGTATTTGGACGATAACACGAAGAAAAAAAATACTCCTATGCTGTTAGGTGAATATTTTATTGTTTATATATATTATATATTTGTTTTTTTACTCAAATAAAATTTTTCTTTGAAATCAATAATGACTATAGACGATATATTTATATTGAATTTATGAGAATATTTAAATTACTATCTAACGAGATAATTAATATCTATCTCAACAATTGAACATTAGCTTATCAGAATGGATAAATAATTTATCATCGATAGAGAATGTCGTTCGAGATTCTTTTTTTTTTTTTTTTTTTTTTTTAAGAAGATAATTTTTATTTATATAATATTAAGAAATAATTTCTTTTATTTCTAACGAGCACGTAGATGAAAATATGTTAGTGTTTATTCCTTCTCTTATCTTTTATTCTTGTGTAATTTTTGATACGATATATGTGTAATCTGATGACTGGATTATCAAAAGGACAAAATAGATAAATATTAAGTATAAAGTAAAAAGGAGGGATTGGAAATATTTAAAATTTTCTTTTAGGTTTTACGTTCGCCCTTCGTACGGTGGGACCGGCGATTGGTTTTCTACTGGGATACGGTTGCTTGAGCCTTTACATCGATCCAACCCTTCATCCCGTTATAACGAAGAAGGATCCACGGTGGTTGGGTGCTTGGTGGTTGGGATGGATCATTTTAGGCGTTACCATGGGAATGTTCGCCATACTGATCGCCATGTTTCCACGAGATCTTCCAAGGCCACGTAATACGTTGAAAAACGTGAGAGAAAATGAGAATACTATAACTTCATTTAATGTTTTTCCTACTAATCGATAACATCCTTTATTTTCTTTCATTCTCTACGTATAATTTAGAACGGTGAGTTACCATTGAAATTGGAACTGGCCCTTCAAGAAAAATCGACGAGATCGTCGTTGTCGATAAGATCGACGAACTCGTTGAAGCAAGAACACGTGCCGACCATGCGAGAATTTCCAGCTGCCATGAAACGACTATTAACGAACTGGTTGCTCACTTGTAATAATCTCAGTGGCGTATTTTACGTTCTCGGTGCATCCGCCTATATCACGTTCTTAGCAAAATATCTCGAAGTGCAGTATAATACCTCAGCCGCTGGCGGCACAGTTATTGCCGGCAAGTAATCTTCATTATTATTATCATTTTTTTTTTTCTATTAATAAATAATTTTAATATCATATTAACGTAATCACAATTGTTCTAGGCCCAATATCTTTGGTGGGCATGGTATTAGGATTTTTATTATCAGGATTGGTGATAAGTAAATTCAAACCAGGTCCTAGACCATTGCTAGCTTGGAACGTTCTCGTTGGTGTTTGCTTCGTCGCAGGACAAATTTCTTTTATCTTTCTCGGATGTTCCGATGTAGGAATCGAAGGAGTCGATCTTAAGACTATGCAGTGAGTACGTCCTCGATTACTTTCCCGAAAGATATGAATTCGTGAGAGAATAATTTTACTCGAGCAAAAAATGCATTTAAAAAAAAAAGAAATTATATGCATTCTCATATACAACAGTTAAGATCGTTCTAAAAAGTTCTATTAAAATATTTCGTTTGAAAATTCGATAATTCAAGACAATTTCGATAATTCAAGATAATCAATTATTAATTAGCTGAACTAAGGTAAAAATAATAAAATGATTATATACGTTCGACAGAATGAATTTAACGTCCAATTGCAACGCTGCGTGCAATTGCGAGTACGTTAAATATGCACCGGTTTGTCACGAGCCCTCGAAAACGACCTTCTTCTCAGCCTGTCACGCAGGATGCCGTACGATAGTAGACGACAAGGAATTTGGTAACTGCAGTTGCGTACCGTCGATAAAGCTCAGTTGTGTGAATGATCGATTGGACGAGAACAAAGATGAAGAAGGTCACTTTGAAAACAAACTCCAGGCACTTGATGTCCGATTATCCACTAACTTGGACAAGGTCCGAGCTGGTCCATGTCCATCCAGTTGCAATGGACCATATTTGCTCTTCATGGTGCTCACTTGCATCATACAAACTCTTGCCTGTTCCGGGAAGATTGGCAATGTTCTCGTTAACTATAGAAGCGTTGAGAAAAAGGACAAAAGTTTTGCTCAAGGTGTCACACTTATGATAATATCATTGTTCGCACTGATACCAGGACCAATAATTTACGGTGCGATCATTGATTCGACCTGTCTGATCTGGGAAGAATCCTGCGGGACAAGAGGCAACTGTTGGTTCCATCATAGAGAAAATTTTCGATATCTCGTTAATATCACGTCGGCTGGTTAGTATAATGTCGTTTTCTTTCTTTTTTTTTTTTGTTTGCCTTTTATTTCGAGACCATTCGAACGAGAAGATCGATCGATTTTCAAAAATAGATATTACTTTTTCCTTTCTCTCTCTCTTTTTTTTTTTTTCTTTTCATTCCTTCATTTCACTCTTTTAGGATTTTCTATAATAGGAGTACTCTTTGACGTAGCCGTGTGTTATCTTGGAAAGGATTTAGATCTTTATGGGACACTTGAGAACGACAGACGTCGGGAATTCATCAAAGAGGACAATTGCGAGAACATCACCGGTGTTAACAAGAGAAAGGTTGTTAATGGAAACGCGAATCAAAGGATAGAACACACGCATCTGTAACGTTCCTCGAATTTTTATACTCGATGAAATGGATTTAAGAAAAAGAAAAAAGAAAGATGAGCAAGAGAGAGAGAGAGAGAGAGAGAGAGAGAGGGAGAGGGAGGGAGAGAAAGGAAATGATACGAGGAGTGTTCAAACGATAGTTTTTGAGTTTTAATCATAGAAAATAGTGATTTTATGAGATTTGCTAGGTACCTGAGAATTGCCGGGAAGATATCTAATAACATTTAACGAACGTTGACCGTTCGGGTTATCACGGTGGAAAAAAAAAATGATATTTTATATTATATACTATATATATATATATATATATATATATATATATATATATATATATATATATATATATATATCGTATGCACGTATATGTATATATATATAATATTATTTTATTACGATCGAGAAAGATATTTGGGTTATTGACAAGACGTAACTCACACGTATATAAGATACGAATATTAAGATGATAATAATAATTATTGCAAGAAAAAAAATGAAAAGATAGGAGATGAAAAAAAGAACGAACAAAGAAGGTTTCGTTTGGATCGAGTAATCGAAATAAAAAAATGTTTTCAATGATAGATCGTTTTGTTATCGTTAATTGACACATACATACGTACGACACTTATATATACACACATACACACACACACACGCACACACACACACACGATACATATACATTTCAGGTATATTAATATTAATATTCGCAGTAAGGTTTTTTTCGCCGTATTGTAAATAAAGTACGAGATTTTTGTTTTCTTTAAGAAAAAAAAAACAAAAAAAAACAAAAAAAAAGAGAGAGAGAGAAAGAAAAAAAAAAGAAGAAAGAAAAAGATAAAAGGACATCGAAGTTCCTCCTGTTCCCGTCATTATCGTCATGGCACCAAACGCTTTCAGATATCTTTAGCTCGTTTGCTTCGAAAATAAAATACAAACGCCATCGTCAAATCGTTTACGAGTTTGTTGCTATCGATCGATTGGATCGATCGTATTATCGCGGTAGGTTCTTATGATCGGCGACTCGATGTCATCTTTTTATTAGCTTAACTCGCCGACCATCCTCCCATGGTAATTTCGCATAAATCGATAAATTCCCCCTGACGACTTTCCTAATATTTTCATTTTATCTTTTTTTTCTGCTTTTTCTTTTTTTTTTTCCTCCTCTTCTTCTTTCTCCTTAAGCAAACCTATGCGTCGCATTTTTTTTTTTTTTTGTAAAGGTCACTACGTTATTTCGAATAATACATCGATCGATAACGAAATAAAGCAAAGAGATTTTGTGCTAATGTTAAATATACGTATTTGTATTGACGAGAAAAGAAAAAAAGAAAAGAAAGAAAAAAGAAGAAAAAAAAAGAGAAGAAAGAAAAATGAATAAAAATCCATGCGTTTCGAGGAGAGGAACCCTTCGGATTTGACGTTAAAACTCTTGCAAATAGGGGGAGGGGAAGGGTGGGAGGATAGGGGAGTTATGCCCAGCCCAGGGAATGGAGAGGGTTTTCGACCTGACGGTAAAAAAGAAAAAAAAAGGAAAAGTAAAAGAGAAAAAGAAAAGTAGGTAGGTAAATCGTCCTCGATCGTCGTCATAGTCGTCGTCCTACCTTATACGTTCCTGTTGCGAAAGGGTGAACCAAGGATAACGAAGGAGGAAAAAAGAAGAAGATGAATAAGCAGAACAAAGAGAAAAAGAGAGAGAGAGGGAGGGAGGGTGGGAAGGAGGGAGGAAGAAAGGAAACGAAACCGAGGGAGGTAAAAACGAATGGTGGGGGATCGAGGTCTTAAGGGGTCTTCTTTAGACCTCAGCCAAATTCTAGATAGAGAGAAAAAGAGATAGAAGGATAGATAGATAGATAAAAAGAGAGACAGAGAGAGAGAGAGAGAGAGAGAGAGAGAGAGAGAGGTAGAGAGAGAAACAGAGAGAAGGGATTACTATCGCGAGCTCGAAAGTAAAAAGGGAGTGTTTGTTTGAGAGTCTTTTAATTTTTAAGCCCACCCAGAAGAGCCACTACGAGCTGGAAGGTGGTATAGCCGGGGTTGTAGGTGGCGGGTGTGGTGGGTGGTAGGGTAAGGCGGTGGAAAAGGGAGTTGGAGACGAGATAGCGGAGAGACGGGGGTCGATGTTGTAATGAATTCGCGACGTCCCCGTGACGTCAGGACGTAGCTATCGATCGCCATCCTTCGCTACGGCGCTCACTTCCTTCTCGGAGGATGCGCTTTGCCGTTACCTTTACGGGATTTACGAAAGACGCGAACGACCTCGACTATCTTCTACCTCGTATAAACGTACCAGAACGATTATTATCCTCGTCTTATTTTCTTTGTATCTTTACCTTCACCCTCTTTCTCTCTCTCTTTCTCTCTCTCTCTCTCTCTCTCTCTCTTTCTCTCTCTCTCTCTCTCTCTTTCTATCTCTCTTTCTCTCTTTCTTTCTTTTTACTTTTAACTCTTTATCTATTTACTTTTTATCAGAGAGAGAGAGAGAGAGAGAGATAGAGAGAGAGAGAGAAAGAGAGATTTCTTATTTTTATCATCATTTCAATCGATATCGATCGAGTATCATGTTAGAATTAATAAAAATTCTTTAAACATTTCATTTGGTTTGAAATTTCCAAATTATAATGTAAAATTTTTTAATTTACATTTAAAACTTTAAACTTAAAATTTTAAACGTAAAATTTTAAATGTTACATCGGTAATAACAATAAACAATTCTCGATCTTTTCAAGCGGCCGTTTATAAGCTCTATTATCTGTTTCAATATTTTTTTGTCTTTTTCTTTTTCTTTTTTTTTTTCTTTTTTGCTTTTTTTTTTTGTAAGTGCAACGGCGAGCTCAGTTCAATATAAAAACGGTACAATTTTCTAACCATAAGATACGCTTTCAATCGAGAAGATAACCTACTTAGGGGTAACCATCGTTATCTTAATTTCAATAAATATAAAAATATTTATAAGAGAGAGAGAGAGAGAGAGAGAAAGAGAGAGAAAGAGGGAAAGGGAGAGATAAATAGCATTATAATGCATTAGAATGCATATTACATTCAAGTGTAATATTTTTAATGAATCGTTCATTCTACGACAATGAACAATGTCGAAATAATCAATATAAACAATTTATTAGTAGATACATGAGTTAAACAATTATTAAACGTGTTATGATAAAACAATAGCTTACACTTTGTTGAGAAGTCGCAGATATCTTATAACAAATAGATGTTAATCAATTGATCGATGAAAAATTAAAAAAGAGACGCGATTATTGACTCAATTATTGATTGAAGCTTATCGATTATTGACACGTTGAGCGATCGGATGAATGTTTGAACGATGAAGAAGAAAAGGAAGAAGGAGAAAAAAAGAAAGAGACAGAGAGACAGAGAAAAAGAGAGAGAGAGAGAGAGAGAGAGAGAAAGAGAGAGAGAGAGAGAAAGAAAAAAAGAGATGGAGAACATGAATTGAACGTCTCATTCTTTCTATAGGTCAGCTTTCTTAAGTTTTGTCGATGTATGTACGTGGTACATTGTGCATGACCCTGACCCATCTTTCATATAGACCTCATCAAAGTCTTCTAAGTCGAGGTACAGTCCGTTCTAGTCAATGTTGTCGACGACGTCTTCGGAGCTTGACCGGCAAAGAGAAACGAAGTATCGCGATCAACGAACTGTTGTTACTCTTTGAAACGAATCGGATGATTATACAAAAAAAAAAAAAAAAAAAAAAAAAAAAAGAAAAAAAAGAGAAGTAAACAAAATTAAGAAAAAAAAAATAATAATCTTGAATTCGTCGCATTAAATCGAAAATTTATAAAACAATAAAAATAGAATAAAAAATCTTAACAATTATGTGACAGTATGTACTATTATTACAAATAATTACAAGGAAGGATTTTAAATTAAAGAGAAAAAAGAGTATATCAGTAAGATTAATGATAATAATTGTAATTCGTTTTATCAAATCCTATCTCCTTTTTTTCTTTTTTTTTTTTTTCTTCATTTTCAATTTCTAGTAATAAATCGAGCGATAATAAAATTATCATTAATTATCATAAATTATTCATATTTTTGTTTCTTTTCTTTTTTTTTTTTTGCATAGAGAGAAGAATATTTAAAAAAGTTGATGAGTGCAAACATTAGATATGACGTAGTTTTGAATTTCGAGGACAAAAATAAAATTTGCAATGTAATAGTTAGTCAGCAAAAATACTTGATGAAATAATACTTACAAAAAATTGTTAAAGAAAGTTGTTGGCAGGCCCATAATCAATCGAGATATGCCATCAGTTTCAAAAGATTTGATTTGTTTTCTTTGTATACAAATCGACCTAACTTTTTTCTTTTTTTTTTTTTTCTGACGCACATGAATACGTATGACAAAATCTTGTCATAAATACAATAACGTCTGCGTGGTATGCTGTACAAATACAAAAGAAAAAGAGAATCGTAAATCAGATGCGTTGATCAGGCTTCTTTTTTTTCTTTTTTTCCTCTCTCTTTTTTTTCTTTTTTTTTTTTTTTTTTTTTTTGAAAAAACTAATTTGTACCGATTTTAATCGCGTCACATAAATTCTTTTTCTTTCTTTCCCCTTTCTCCTTGTAATATTACTTGAAATGATTTTCTACGAATCTTCTGCGATTTTAAAAGTACCAAAGTTTCCGTGTTTCCTTCAATCGATCATTAAGTATTCTCTCGAGATAAGCTCAAATGGCGCCACCTTTTCGAAATATTTTCTTATTCTTTCAAGAGAAAATAAAGAGGGAGAAGAAATCTTTATGTATGCGTCTATGTGTATGTTCGTAATGGCGCTTGATAGAAAAGTAATGATACCCGACGATTTTTCGTGTAGCCTGCTACGAGAACATTTCCGAGATTGCAAATAAATTTATGGCGGCCCGTTATCGTCGATGTGTAAATGTTCATTCGTCTCGTCATATTCGCGATCGGAGCGTAAATATTGTCGAAGAAGCGACGTTTCTCGCAAATCATGTCGGATGTTAATAAAAGTGTACATGTAATTACCGATTACGTTGGATCAAATAGAAACGTTTAATTTTTATAATAATATACCTTAAATGTAGTAATAG